CTCCACATATCTTGAAGGGGGATCAGCCACAGAGACCAGGAACCAGCACCCCAAGACGAAAGGGTCCAGCTCCCCAGCTGTGTGCAGTTCCCTGAGGGGTGGGCGGAGAGGTCCTACAATCTCAGCTAAGCGCCCCAATGCTACAAATGACGTCTCCCTGGGAACCCCAGGCCTAGCGGTGCCTGCTCTAGTTGCAAGCTGCAGCCAGGGAAGCTCACCTGGCCAATGAGACCTGGGGTGTGCCCAGGGAGACCCATGGATGGCATTTGCGAAGGGGGAAAGGGGGCAGCCTTTGCAAAGGGCACTTTCCTTTCTAGGCCTTTCCCCCCAGGAGTGGGTAGGACAGGGGTCGACAACCTAAGGCCCATGGACCCCCGCCACCCACAGCCAATGGGAAGCTGTGCATGCCTCCTCTGCGCCCGAAGGAGCGCCAGAAATAGCATTTGTGCTTGCGTGCGTGCGCACACACTCCGGCCCACCGTGGCCTCTGATCCAGCAGCAAAAAAAGCTAACGCTCTTCTAGGCTGCATCTGCAGAAGTCTAGTGCCCAGATGAAGGGAAGTCAGAGTCCCACTCTATTCTGCCTTGGTCAGGCAAACACCTGGAATACTGTGTCTAATTCTGGGCACCACAATTTAAGGAGGATGTTGACAAGCTGGAAAGTGGGCAGAAGAGGGGGACCAAGATGATCAAGGAAACTAAGCCTGATGAGGAGCGGTTGAAGGAGCTGGGTATGTTTAGACTGGAAAAGAGGAGACTGAGAGGAGATATGAGTTAAAAGGTAAAGGTAAAGGGACCCCTGACCATTAGGTCCAGTTGTGACAGACTCTGGGGTTGCGGCGCTCATCTCGCTTTACTGGCCGAGGGAGCCGGCGTACAGCTTCCGGGTCATGTGGCCAGCATGACTGAGCCGCTTCTGGCGAACCAGAGCAGTGCACGGAAACGCCGTTTACCTTCCCACCTACTTATCTACTTGCACTTCATGCTTTTGAACTGCTAGGTTGGCAGGAGCTGGGACAGAGCAACGGGAGCTCACCCCGTCGCGGGGATTCGAACCACCAATCTTCTGATCAGCAAGCCCTAGGCTCTGTGGTTTAACCCACAGTGCCACCCGCAACTTAATAAATGTGCAATTGTTACTGTTTTGAACTTTAATTACAGTGGTGCCCCGCAAGACGAATGCCTCGCAAGACGAAAAGCCCGCTAGACGAAAGGGTTTTCCGTTTTTCGATGTGCTTTGCAAGACAATTTTCCCTATGGGCTTGCTTCACAAGACGGAAACGTCTTGCGAGTCTTGCGATTTTTTTTGCTCCCCCCCCTTTTCTAAGCCGTTAAGCCGCTAATAGCCTTTTAGCCGCTAAGCCTTTAATAGCCGCTAAGCCGCTAATAGCCTTTTAGCCGCTAAGCCGCTAAGCCTTTAATAGCCGCTAATAGCCTTTTAGCCGCTAAGCCTTTAATAGCCGCTAAGCCGCTAAATGCGCTAATCCGCTAATAGGGTTGCTTCGCAAGACGAAAAAAACACTAGACGAAGAGACTCACGGAAGGGATTATTTTCGTCTTGCGAGGCACCACTGTACCTTCTTTAGTGGGTGGTGCAAAGCATTATTCTGAATAAGGCTTTTGAATAGGGTTTGAGGGCACCGGGGATGAGTTTATGGAACAAAGGGGGCAGTGGCCCCAAAGGCTGGGGAACCCCTGTGCTGGATGATGAGCACCCCTCTGGACAAACCAGTTTCACCTGCATGCCATGGGAAACCATTTTGGAGCAACCGACTGGGAACCTGCACGGAAAGGAGCAGAGGATAGGGAACAGCCCCAAATTCAAGGAGGCTTGCTCAGGAAAATTTTTTCCTGCACGAAGGACCCCATTGTCTGCACTCACCCTTGCAAGAACCTAATGCGTTTAAAGCCCAGTGTAGGTCTGTGCCCTTAAGAAGAAAGTCTTGGCCCCCAAACCTAGTCTTTGACAGGACCTCCCCAAAGTTTCCCAGCATGTTTGGGGGTGGAGGCACCAGCAAGTAATCTGGGGACAGAGGGCAAGAGGAAGACCCTTTCTCCCTGCCATGATCCCAATGTCCAACCGGGGGGAGACATCCAGAGGTTTAAGCATCTCTCCATTTCCTTTCTCTGTGCTGAGCGTCAGCGGACTCGTGGCCTCTGCTCACCCCGCAGGGGAAATGGAGAAAAGACCCCCCAAAGATGCGTCATGGGAGCGGCTGACAAGACTTAGCAACAGAGGAAGAGACCCCAGTTGTGTGTGTACACAGGCAAGCTTTTGGCACCTGAAAGAGCATCGTTCAACGCCGAGCGATAATAAATACAAGGTTTTGATGGGATGCAGCAACACGGGAGAAGTGGGAAATGGCAGCTTCATCAGTTAAAAAAAAAATCAACCAACCAACCAACCATTGACTAGTCTATGTCATATAAAAATAAACCATATATTAAAAAACAACAACAACCAGACCATTGGACATGGCACGGTGGGAGATGGAGGACAGAACGGAAAGACCCACTGTGTGTGTCGGTTGATTTGCTGCAAGGGAGAGTTAACACTTTCTGACCAAAAAGGGGAAACAAACCTAAAAGATCAGGAGGGGAGGGCAGGACAGTGAAATCTAGGCCGGGACGCAAGTCTGGGAAGGAGAGGAGAGCCATTCCTTTAGAGGGGTTTTTCCAGGGTGTAGATGGTTCAGGGAGGTAGCCGTGTTGGTCTGACGCTGTCAAAATAAATTTAAAAAATCAAAAAATTGTCCAGTAGAGACCAACTAAGTTTATTCTGCATATAAGCTTTCCTGTGCATGCATACGAAAGCTTATACCCAGAACAAACTTAGTTGGTCTCTAAGGGGCTACTGGATAATTTTTCGATTTTTTAAAATTTATTTCTAGGTGGTGCATCTTAGGACAAAGTGGGCAACATGGATTTCCCCCCCCCCCCCCGCCCAAGGCACTTCAGAACAGCCTGCTATAGAGTGCTTTTTTAAAGTTCCTAGGCCTCATTGTTTCAGAAATACGTATGAAACCACAAAGGCTGAAACTTCTGTAAATCAAGAGGAAAGTAAGTCTAAGGCCAGTAGCTAACCTGTTAGGCGTTTCAGAAGAAGCGGGGCAATGCCAAAAGTATGTTTGGCAGTTGTATCTCATTCAGAATATGTCGAGAACATTTGTGCAGGAAAAACTCAGCCTGGAGCCAGCCTGAAATGACTCAGTTTCTCTGCATGTGTGAAGTTAAGGTGAGGGAATGCGGTGGATTTATACACCAGGAGACTGCACTTTTGCTATGCCTGAGTAAAGCTGCCTTAAATATCACAATGGTGCGGCTTTTAAAAAGACCATCGACACCACCTTCTCGTCTTCTCAAATCCATGTGAAGCTTCCACCTAGAACGTGGAATTAACCATCTCTGTCTCCTGTTTGCATTCGCGCTAAAGAGGGAAGGAGAGAGAAAGAGCCAAGGAACATCTTGTTGGCAAACTGCGGCCTTGTGAACCACAGGAGGCAACAAGGATGCAAGAGCATCTCCCCTGGATCAGGCCAACGGGGGTCCCAATCCAGCATCGTCTTCTCACACTGGCCAGCCAGCTGCACATCTATGCGTAGCCTGCAAGCCAGCCAGGAGTGCTGTGGCCCTCTTCAAATCTGCAATTCCCAGCAAATGGTACCGTATTTTTCGCTCCATAAGGCGCACCGGACCATAAGGTGCACCTAGTTTTGGGAGGAGGAAAACAAGAAAAAAATTATTCTGAATCCCAGAAGCCAGAACAGCAAGAGGGATCTGGTTTCTGGGATACCGTGTGGCCGTTCTGGCTTCTGGGATAACCACACCAAGCCTCTTCAAGGCAGCGGGATGAAGGCTCCCCCTGCCCGAAGGGGCTGCGCGCGGCTATGGCAGAAGCCAGGACAGGCGCATCGCTGAAGGGGCGCTGCAGTTCTCCCTCTCTGCGCAGCGCCATTCGCTCCATAAGACGCACTCACATTTCCCCTTAGCTTATAGGAGGAAAAAAGTGTGTCTTATGGAGCGAAAAATACAGTACTCAGAGCATCTCCTGCGTTATGTCGACCCCTCTCTGAAAGCCATCTAAGTTCGTGGCCACTGCTAGATACTGGGAGAGACAACACTCTGTTTTAAATTCGTGCTGCGTGAATACAGCGGTACCTTGGTTCCCGAACGGCTTAGCTGACAGACAACTCGGCTCCCGAAACCTGCAAACCCAGAAGTACATGTTCCAGTTAGCAAACATTTTTTGGGAGGCCGAATGTCCGTTTCGGCTGTCGCCATTGTTTCCAGGGCCGATCAGAAGCCATGCCTTGGTTTTGGAAGTTGAAAGGACTTCCGGAACGGACGGAGTTCAAGAACCAAGGTACCACTGTAATCGCTTCCTCTTTGTCTGCCCCGAAACCTCCCCAATTTCAGTCAGAGGCGTTTGGGTTCTAGAATTACGAGAGAGGGAGGGGGAAAACCTCTCTGTCCCCACGGTCTCCGCAAAGTAGAGGACATCTCCATCACACTTTCCCCCCATTAAAAGAAACAGTCCCAAACACCATCGCTTTTCCTCGCTGGGGAGTCGTCCCCCCGTCCCCTTTATCATGAAGGCGGTGGGCTTTCCTTCATGGGAGGTTTCTAAGCAGAGGTTGGACGGCCCTCTGTCAGGGATTTTTTTAAGCTGTGATTCCTGCATTGCAGCGGGTTAGGCTGGATGACCTTTGGGGAGCCCTCTCAACCCTACGACCCTGGGCTTGTTTCGGTTGCCCTCTTCCCAGCCCCACGAGATCCTCGCTGGGCAGTGGCGGCCGGAAGACGGCGCGACGAGATCCCAAAACCAAAATGCGCGACGGGAGAGGCGGGCTGTGAAAAAGCTGCCCCACGAAAGCCAGATTTAACTGCCCTGCCCAGGAGACCGGGGGGAGATCGCCAAGGGAGAAACTCAACGGACTGAAGAAGAGGCACTGTTTGTGGACGTCGCGATGCTCAGGAAGGAGGCCGTCCCCCGGGAGATCCTTGGAGGCTGGAAGGAACCCAGGAGATCTCCAGGAAGGATTCCAGCAAAGTTTGCTACAGAAGAGAGTCAGTATCAGCAAAAAAAAAAATGCCTCGTTCGTCCTACTGTTTATAGTGGTAACCTGCAAACGAAAGAAAGAGAAATATTAAGTGGCTTTCCGTCCCCTCGCTGTCTCGAGAAGAGCAACAAACCTTTCAGCTCTCGTGGAAAACAAAGATGCTATTATTTTAGTGCCGTATATCAACATGTTTTAAAAAAGAACACAGGAACATGTTGAGGTTCTCAATACGTCTTACATCTAAATTAACTGGTGTCTGTTTTTAACTTTTTGTGTGGCTTCCCTTCTGTACCTTTGTATTAAAACTGCTTTGATATCTGTATGGAACAGCGGTATATAAATATTTCTATAAATAAATTAGGTAAGTGTATCGGCAAGTTTAAATCAGTCCTTCCTGTTTAAAAGACCACAGAGTTCTCGAACCTCATTTCCCTTTCCTGATTCTGGGCAAGGTGGTTGGTGGCAGAGGCTTTCTCAAGAGGCTGACACTTCAAATTTAAATTTTGCAGCTTGTAGATACAAGAATTTGCTGAAAGGGCGCAGTTAACAAATACCCTGAGAGGCAATTCAAAACAAAAAATTATGGAAAAGTGGGATAGATATAAAACATATGTTCAAAAATACAGTAAAGGTTCACTGTCTATGCTAGCATTTGACTGACGTTGGAGTGAGACTGAGTTGAGAAATAAGACTAAGAGCACATATTGATATAGGAATGTATTAGATAATATGTAAAGAAATATACAATAATAAGAGTACATTCATTTGAGGGGGAGATTTGTTTTGGGTTTTTTCTCTTTGTTCTTTCTTTTTTTTTTTTTGTTTCATTTTCTTTCTAAGTATATAAAATTGGTATATAATTTTTGTAAACATGCTGGAAATTATATTATAGTAAGTCCTGTAATGTAATATGAAGTTTACTGATGTAATATAAGAACGTTAACAAATAAATAAAATGCAAATTCAAATAAATAAATAAATAAATAAATAAATTAAAATTTTGCAGCGGGACCTCTGTACCTCTCCGCAAAACCCCTGCGCGAGCGGCAGAAAGGAAACAGCTGCGGCTTATTCCTTCCTTGGGAAAGCTGCAAAGGTTACGGGGAAGGGGCGCAGCTCAGAGGCAGAGCTCAGGCTCCGGAGATCTCGGGGTTCAATAGCCGCTGTCGCCCACGAGGGCCAAACCCTTGGGGAGCTGCTGCCAGTCCGAGCGGACAGCGCTGAGGGAGGTGAATCCCTGAGGGAGAGAGGAACTGCTGGCGTTGCAGTGGCCCTTCAGCCGGCCTTGTGATAAAGAGATCTGCCCGGTTTTGGGGGGTGGGGTGTTTGTGGGGAGGAGACTCTGGCGGTCCCTCCCTTGAGAAAGATCAGCATTTCCATCAGCACAGACTTTTAGTTATTAAAATAATATTGGATTGGATTGGATTGGATTGGATTGGATTGGACTGGAATGGAAATTCAATTCAATTCAATTCAACTGAATTCAATTCAATTCAATTCAATTCTGTCTGGGTTGCCCCAGGAGGAGTGTGCTCCTTTGTTACTGTTCTCCTTCCTGGTTTCCCATTAGGGCATCAGGTGGGCCATAGGATGCTGGACTATTATTTTGATTAATTAAATTTGTCTACTGCCTTTCATCCGTATATCTCAGGGCTGTTCACAGCATAAACATACAAGAAACCCCCCCAAAAAATACATAATAAAAACAAGAAGAGAAACAAGTCAATAACCCACAGCCTCCCCTCCCCACAAGACGTCTGAAAGGGTATCGGATGTTAAATCTAGATGGGCCACCCCAAAAATAAGCAAGTTGGAGACCGAAAAGGAGTGCCGCTATTCCCCCGAGTGGGTGGGGACGCTGCCCCCCCCCCTCACCTTTATGAGAAGGCTCTGGTCTGGGTGTTTGATGTGCCACGTTCTGCTGGCTTGTAAGGTTACAAAGCTGGTCCAGATCCTCGGAGGGCGGAGGGGGAGGCCTGGCAAAGAGAGCAGGGAAAAACGGTTTGGAAAAAGGATCCGTCGGCCGGCCTGTTCCCCAAAGGTTGATGCTGCAAAGCCTTTCCCCCAAAGGGTCTGCTTACAGGTGGTTCTCCCCCCCCCCCAACCACTTTTTTTAGTGTTTTAATTACCATATTTTTCGCTCTATAGGACACACTTTTCCCCCGCCAAAAATGAAGGGGAAATGTGTGTGTGTCCTATACAGCGAATGCAGGCTGCGCGGCTAAGCCGAAAGCCAGAACAGGGAGAGGGAGCGCTGCGCAGCGCTCCGTCTCGCTGTTCTAGCTTCGGGTTAGCTGCGCAAAGGAGGCGGTTGGAGGATGGATGGCGGCTAACAGATTGAGGTTGAATCCTGACAAGACAGAAGTACTGTTTTGGGGGGACAGGTGGTGGGCTGCTGTGGAGGACTCCCTGGTCCTGAATGGGGTAACTGTGCCCCTGAAGGACCAGGTGCGCAGCCTGGGAGTCATTCTGGACTCACAGCTGTCCATGGAGGCGCAGGTCAATTCTGTGTCCAGGGCACCTGTTTACCAGCCCCATCTCGTACGCAGGACAAGACCCTCCCTGCCTGCAGACTGTCTGGCCAGAGTGGTGCATGCTCTGGTTATCTCCCACTTGGACTACTGCAATGCGCTCTACGTGGGGCTACCTTTGAAGGTGACCCGGAAACTACAACTAATCCAGAATGCGGCAGCTAGACTGGGGACTGGGACTGGCCGCCTGGACCACATAACACTTGTCCTGAGAGATCTGTATTGGCTCCCAGTACGTTTCCAAACACAATTCAAAGCCCTAAACGGCCTCGGTCCTGTATACCTGAAGGAGCGTCTCCACCCCCATCGTTCTGCACGGACACTGAGGTCCAGCGCCGAGGGCCTTCTGGTGGTTCCCTCATTGCGAGAAGTCAGGTTACAGGGAACCAGACAGAGGGCCTTCTCGGTGGTGGCGCCCACCCTGTGGAACGCCCTCCCACCAGATGTCAAGGAAAGAAACAACTACCAGACTTTTAGAAGACATCTGAAGGCAGCCCTGTTTAGGGAAGTTTTTAGTATTTAATGCTGTATTGTTCTTAACACTTGATTGGAAGCCACCCAGAGTGGCTGGGGAAACCCAGCCAGATGGGCGGGGTATAAATAATAAATTATTATTATTATTACTATTACTAGTTTTCTATGTGCAGGGAGATAGATGACTGAATCACAAAACTGCAAAGTCCAACCCCTTAAAGCAGGCATGGCCAAACGTGGCCCTCCAGCTGTCTGGGGACTACAATTCCCATCAGCCCTGACCACTGGTCCTGTTAGCTAGGGATGATGGGAGTTGTAGTCCCAAACATCTGGAGGGCCGAGGCTGAGGAAGCCTGTCTTAAAGAGATGGAGATGAAGGAGACACAAACCAAAAAACGAATCCTGTAATCACACTGCCATCGTGCCCTGCTTACAACCGAGGCCATTTGACCAGGTGAGGCTTCCCCACCTGCACTCCTGGATCACGGATCGGGGTTCCCTCTCACCTCGTTGGCTTGTCGCTTCTGGACCGGTGACCTTCGTGACCTTCCCTTGACCTCGGGCGCACCGATTCGTGTGCGTCGTGCTGGGGAGAGGGGGGAGAGGAGGGCGATCAGCTCAGACCGGAACATGACAAAATAAAGTCCTCCTTCACGCTGCGCAGAGTTAACCTGTGGAACTCCCTGCCCCAGGAGCCAGCAAGGGCCACCAACTGGGACGCCTTTAAAAGAGGATCAGACTGCAGTGGCACCTTGGTTCTCAAACATCTTGGAACCCAAACACTGCAACCTCGGAAGTCAGTGTTCCAGTTTGCGTACTTTTTTCAGAAGCTGAACATGCTCTGTTTTGAGTGTTACGCTTCCGATTTGAGTGTTACGCTGAGGTCTGTCTGTTTTTGCTATTTATTTTGCGTTTTTGCGGCTCTTTTTCTTTTGTTTTTGTGACTGTGTGGAACCCGGTTCAGCTACTGATTGATTGATTGATTGATTGATTGTGCGACTGCAGTACATTGTTTCTTGCTTTCATTTTATGGATCCGTGGTCTCGTTAGACAGTAAAACTCATGTTCAATTGCTGTTTTAGGGGTTGTTTTTAAAAGTCTGGAACGGATTAATCCCTTTTGCATTACTTTCTATGGGAAAGCAGTGCGCCTTGGTTTTGGAACGCTTTGGTTTTGGAACGGACTTCCGGAACGGATTAAGTCTGAGAACCAAGGTGCCACTGTAATTCCTTTGGCCTTGGGGATACTTTTAATAGATTTCTCTTTCCTCTTGGTTTTAATGTACCTGTGCAGGTTTGCGGTCTATTGGTTTAGTTGTAAGTCGCTTTGGGTTGCCAACTCCGGACGCATCACCCACCTTCCAGTCTGGCTCCTGCCTCTTCTTTTCCAGAGAAGACTTTCCCCGTTCCTTGGCTTTCTTGTAAGCCTTCTTCTCCTCCGCCAGCAACAGGCGAGCTATTTCCTAGCAGAAACAGCAGGAGAAGAACGTTACAAGGAGCTCGGCAGCTGGATTAGACCCACGAGGGACCCACCTAAATAATAATAATAAATAATAATAATAATAATAAAATTTTATTTATACCCCGTCCTCCCCAGCCGAAGCCGGGCTCAGAGCGGCTAATAACAATAAAATAATACAATATTCTAAAATTATTACATTATAAAAGTAATTCAAATCAAATTAATGGCAACCATTGGGTTAGTGTTCTGTGAGGAATGCCCTGGCCAAAGGCCAGGTGGAACAGCTCTGTCTTGCAGGCCCTGCGGAAAGATGTCAAGTCCCGCAGGGCCCTAGTCTCTTGGGACAGAGCGTTCCAGCAGATTGGGGCCACGGCCGAAAAAGCCCTGGCTCTGGTTGAGGCCAGCCTAACCTCCCTGTGGCCCTGGATCTCCAAGATGTTTTTGTTTGAAGACCGTAAGGTCCTCCTTGGGACATACCAGGAGAGGTGGTCCCGTAGGTACGAGGGTCCTAGGCCGTATAGGGCTTTAAAGGTTAAAACTAGCACTTTGAACCTGATCCTGTACCCCACCGGGAGCCAGTGCAGCTGGTATAGCACCGGGTGAATGTGATCCCACAACGAGGACCCCATAAGGAGTCTCGCCGCGGCATTCTGCACCCACTTGAGTTTCTGGGTCAGTCTCAAGGGCAGCCCCACGTAGAGCGAGTTACAATAATCCAGTCTGGAGGTGACCGTCGCGTGGATCACAGTGGCTAGGTCAGGGCGAGAGAGATAAGGAGCCAACTGCTTAGCTTGGCGGAGATGAAAAAATGCCGCCTTTGTTATAGCTGCAATCTGCGCCTCCATGGAAAGGGAGGTGTCGAAGATTACACCCAAACTCTTAATGGACGGTGCTGGCATTAATTGCGCCCCTGCAAGAGATGGGAGTTGCCCCCCCCCCAATCCCATATCGTCTCGTCCCAGCCACAGGACCTCTGTCTTCAAAGGATTTAGCTTCAACCGGCTCCCACGTAACCATCCAGCCACAGCTTCCAGACATCTGGTCAGTGTGTCTGGGGCCGAGTCAGGATGGCCATCCATCAACAGATAGAGTTGGGTGTCATCAGCATACTGATGGCAACCCAGCCCAAAACTCCGGACAAGCTGGGCGAGGGGGCGCATAAAGATGTTGAAAAGCATCGGGGAGAGTATCGCACCCTGAGGCACTCCACACACCAAGGAGTGGCGCGATGACCTAGACCAGCATCGTCACAGGGGCCGAAACCCTCCAGCAGGATGCGAGTGGAAGAGTTCTCTACCGTGATTAAGGTAGGCTGGCTTTGTCCATGGAGGCTCCATTTAGGAATCCCAAGGAGCTAAGAAGAGGCCAGGCAGCTGGGCTCCTCCTCACAGCGGCCGACCAGACTCCCACAAGGAAATCCCACAAGCAGGACTTCAGCCCCACTGCGCTCTCCCCTCCTGCAGAAAACCTTTCCTCAAAGCTGCTTTCATCTCTTCCAGTGCTCGCTTTTGCATCCCTGTTCAATTCTCATCATTCGCATCGTTTTGTATCTGCATGCATATTTACTCCAGAGAGCCTTTTTGGCTGAAAGGTCAACAAACGGTATCCTAGCACCACGACAACACGGGGGGTGTGCCAGGATCCCTTCCCTGCATGGGGGAAAGAGGGTTTGGGCCTGGCTCTGAGCGAAGCCAGCTTTTTTGGGGGGGGGCGGTGCAGAGAGGCAGCCAAAGGCGGGAACCAAAGGGGAGAGCTGTTGGCAGGCTCCCTACGCAGAGATATTTGCAAGCCTGAGCTTGAACACAAAGGGGGGAAAGGAGGGGGATCAGTGGGAAGAGACTGGAGTCGGAGCTCCACTAAGAAGCAAGATCTCAGAAAACCAGTTGCCTCCTCAGCTCCAAATAACAACAACAACAACAATTTATTATTTATACCCCACCCATCTGGCTGGGCTTCCCCAGCCACTCTGGGCGGCTTCCAAAAAATATTAAAATACTGTAATACATCAAACATTAAAAGCTTCTCTAAACAGGACTGCCTTCAGATGTCTTCTAAAAGTCTGGTAGTTGTTTTTCTCTTTGACATCCGGTGGGAGGGCGTTCCACAGGGAGGGCGCCACCACCAAGAAGGCCCTCTGCCTGGTTCCCTGTAACTTGGCTTCTCGCAGTGAAGGAACCGCCAGAAGGCCCTCGGCGCTGGACCTCAGTTAGCCCCACATAGAGCACATTGCAGTACCCCAAACGGTAGATAACCAGAGCATGCACCTCTCTGGTGAGACAGTCCATGGGCAGGGAGGGTCTCAGCCTGCGTACCAGGTGGAACTGGGAGACAGCTGCCCTGGACACAGAACTGACCTCCATGCACAGCTGTGAGTCCAGAATGACTCCCAGGCTGCGCACCTGGTCCTTCAGGGGCACAGTTGCTCCATTCAGGACCAGGGAGTCCTCCATACCTGCCTGCCCCCCCCCAAAAAAACCAGTATTTCTGTCTTGTCAGGATTCAACCTCAATCTGTTAGCCGCCATCCTCCAAAGGCAGACACTCCCCATTCCCTTATTTGCATATGCAAATGCCTACCTCGTCCTGGGCGACCTGCGCTGCTCTCTTGTCCACGTGGCTGGCCTGAAGAGGAGACAAGAGGAAAAACAAGAGCTTTTATGAAACAAGAAACCCAGGCATGGTTGGTCAGCTGCAATTCTTTCCTTTTAGGACTTACTGGAGGTTTCTAAACAGAAGTTGGCCAGTCAGGGATGGTTTAGCTGTGAGTCCGGCATTGCAGGGGTTGGACTGGGTGACCCACCCTCTGGCTACCCTCTGGAGCAGCAGAAAACACACTCGCTCCACCTTCCATGGGACAGCTGTTTAGATATTTGAAGGAGGTTATGGTGCTGGAAGAGACTCCTGAGAGTCCCATGGACTGCAAGAAGATCAAACATATCCATTCTGAAGGAAATCAGCCCTGAGTGCTCACTGGAAGGACAGATCTTGAAGCTGAGGCTCCGAGATTTTGGCCACCTCATGAGAAGAGAAGACTCCCTGGAAAAGACCCTGATGCTGGGAAAGATGGAGGGCACAAGGAGAAGGGGACGACGGAGGACGAGATGGTTGGACAGTGTTCTCAAAGCTACCAGTATGAGTTTGACCAAACTGTGGGAGGCAGTGGAAGACAGGAGGGCCTGGCGTGCTCTGGTCCAGGGGGTCACGAAGAGTCGGACATGACTAAACAACAACAATCGTATCATTTCTGGAGCCTTCTCCTTTCCAGGCTAAACACCGCCAGATCCTTCAACCACTCCTCATCAGGCTTAGTTTCCTTGATCATTTTGGTCGCCCTCCACTGCACACCTTCCAGCTTGTTAACATCCTTCTTTAAATTGTGGCGCCCAGAACTGGACCCAGTATTCCAGGTGTGGTCTGACCAGGGCATAACAGAGTGGGACTATGACTTCCCTCGATCTGGACTCTATATTTCTGTTGATGCAGCCTAAAACGGCACTAGCTTTTTTGCTGCTGAATCACAGTGAAACATGTGCTGCTGAAAGACTTAATGGTACCCAGCGCTGCTTGTTGCTACTGATTGCTGCTCAGTGCTCCAAACTCAGAGTCACTTCCACCCCCGAAACACTCTCTCTGTGTCTCTGGGATGAAGCCCAAATCCGTCCCACTCACCAACAGCTCTTCCTCCTGCAGCTTCCGGGCGATCTCTGCATCATAGAGCTCCTGGTCCTGGGGGGCTGCCGGGCGGCCTTTGTGGTAATTGGCATCCTTCGCCCCCCGCGTTTTCGTTCCTTAAGAGACGAGAAGCCACATTCCTCAGTCACAGAAGGGGAAATAATTAATGTGCCAGCTAAATTCAGAGCTACCCACACAGATAAAAAAAAATAGTTCTGCACCAAGGTAAAGCAAATTACGAAGACTGTGTGGATCTGCTTATGTTCTGTGTGTCTTCCTAGAAGACAGACACCTTGACGGCTTGATGTTGGTCCATCTATTCCAATTCAGAGCATCCCACTAGGGATGCAGGAAGAGGCCTTGCCCACCTGCAACTCTCTCCATGGAACACACCTCTTCCTTAACTGACCTACGCTATCCCACCTTGGTCCAGAAGTCAGGGAAGGGCCGTAATCCCAGTGGCAGAGCCCCTGCCTTGCATGCAGAAGGCTCAATCTCCAATAGCACCTCCAGGCAAGGCTGGAAACGCCTCTGGCCTAAACCGGCCTCAAAGGCCCAGTTTCCTGAAGGAGCGTCTCCACCCCCATCGTTCTGCCCAGACACTGAGGTCCAGCTCCGAGGGCCTTCTGGCGGTTCCCTCCCTACGAGAAGCAAAGTTACAGGGAACCAGGCACAGGGCCTTTTCGGTGGTGGCACCTGCCCTGTGGAACCTCCTCCCATCAGATGTCAAGGAAATAAGCAGCTATCCTATTTTTAAAAGACATCTGAAGGCAGCCCTGTTTAGGGAAGTTTTTAATGTCTGATGTTTTAATGCCTTTTAAGTCTTTCATTGGGAGCCGCCCAGAGTGGCTGGGGAAACCCAGCCAAGATGGGCAGGGTATAAATAATAAAATCATCATCATTATTATTATTATTATTATTATTATTATTATTATTATTATTATAAATTATATAACCCAGGAGAGACACGGCTGCCTGCCTGTGTTGACAATACTGAACTGCATGGGCCAGCCTGACTCAGCAGGAGGCAACTTCCTGTGTGACTTTCTACCCAGTTGAGAGGCTTCCAGATAGCTCAGTTGGTAGAACACAAGACTCTTAATCTCGGTTATGAGTTCGAGCCCCACGCTGGGCAAGAGTCCTGCATTGACGGGGTCAGACTAGATGGCCCTTGTGGTCCCAATTCTAGGATTGCACGCACACAATTGCAAGTCACCCCTCAGAGAGAGTTATAGTACTCGAAACATGTGGGGCAGCCAGGGGTCTTCTGTGCACTTTGGGGTCTCTCCCCACCCCTTTAGACAAATTCACGGAGGAGGGCTATGAATGGCTCCTAGCTACGACTGCTCTGCCCTGCCCTTCCACAGTCGGAGGCAGCCGTGCTCCTGAATCTCAGCTGCCGGAAAAGGCAGGAAGGGAGAGAGAGGGCTCTCGCGCTCGGATCCGTTTTGGGGTTTCCCTTTGGGGCATCTGGTCAGCTTCTGTGAAAACAGGGATGCTGGCCCAGGTGGGCCACAGATGCTCTCATGCTCTCAGGCTGCAGATGGCTGGGGTGGAAGATAATTTTAAAACTGGTTCAGGCACGCTGGAAGGGTTCGCTCCAACCTCCAGGAGCACCCGGGGTGCAGAAGGACCGCACAGACTTAAATAAGTCCGCCCCGGAAAGTACCGTATTTTTTCGCTCCATAAGATGCACTTTTTCCCTCCTAAAAAGTAAGGGGAAATGTGTGTGCGTCTTATGGAGCGAATGTAGGTGGGAGGCTCTGCCCAGCGCTTCCTTTAAAGATTCCCTTGGAGCGTGTGTGCAGCTTTTGGGGGGTTTTCCTGCAAGGTGGGAGAAGGGACTGACAAGCTGCCCTCTGTCCCTTCCCACACCTCCCGGGAAAGCCAGCAAGAGCCACTGCCAGGCTCTGCTCAGCGCTCCCTTGTAAGAGCTCACTTTTGTCCCTCATCCCTCACCTGGAGCACTGTGTCCAGTTCTGGGCACTACAGTTCAAGAAGGACACTGACAAACTGGAACGTGTCCAGAAGAGGGCAACCAAAATGGTCAAAGGCCTGGAAACGATGCCTTATGAGGAATGGCTAAGGGAGCTGGGCATGTTTAGCCTGGAGAAGAGGAGGTTAAGGGGTGATATGATAGCCATGTTCAAATATATAAAAGGATGTCACATAGAGGAGGGAGAAAGGTTGTTTTCTGCTGCTCCAGAGAAGCGGACACGGAGCAATGGATCCAAACTACAAGAAAGAAGATTCCACCTAAACATTAGGAAGAACTTCCTGACAGTAAGAGCTGTTCGACAGTGGAATCTGCTGCCAAGGAGTGTGGTGGAGTCTCCTTCTTTAGAGGTCTTTAGGCAGAGGCTTGACAACCATATGTCAGGAGTGCTCTGATGGTGTTTCCTGCTTGGCAGGGGGTTGGACTCGATGGCCCTTGTGGTCTCTTCCAACTCTATGATTCTATTCTATCCCACTTTGCTGGGAAAGGAGCAGAAGAAGAGGCACTGTGCAGCTCTCGCTCTGGCTCTGCTGGCTTCTCAGCGAAGCAGGAGGAGGGATGGAAGGGTTTGAAGCAAGAAAAGCGAGAGCCGCTTACATGCTCTGCGCAGCATATTTTTTTCCTTGCTTCCCCCCTCTAAAAACTAGGTGCGTCTTATGGTCAGGTGCGTCTTATGGAAGTGAAAAATACGGTAGCTCCGTAAGTGTGCAAAGAGGCCGATGAAGGGGGCTTCTGCGTTCCTCCTGCACAGCCCTGGCGAAGTCTCGGGCTGCAACAGGGAGCCAGATATGATTAGAAGGAGCAGCAGGAAGAGGATGCAAGCATCTGCTCACAGATAGACGGGAGCTATTTTCAGCCACGGCAAACATAGCAAAACCGAAAGGGGAAATACCACCGAAAACAGCGTGTGTGTTGTTTGTGTGGAAAATTGCAAAGATCAGTCCATCCGCCACACACCTGCAACATGGGGGCGAGAAGAGAACCCACCCTGTGAAATTAACTGCCTGCCCTGTGGAACTCCCTCCCGTCAGATGTCAAGGAAATAAGCAACTGTTTGACATTTGGAAGACATCTGAAGGCAGTCCTGCGGAGGAAGTGTTAAACGTCTGACGTTTCGTTGCGCTTTTGAGATTTTGTTGGGACAGAGTTGTTCTTTTTACCAACCTACCTTGCAAGGTCGTTGTTCCAGCAAATACAGAGAGAAGCACTTGCTGGGCACTCAGGAAAACCCTGCCTCCCCCAACCTGGTGCCCTCCAGATGTTCAGACTACAACTCCCATCAGATCCTTTCAACACAGCTGGAAGGCCAGAGAATGTGGCTAAGCACTGTCACTAAGACTATTATGAGAATTTTAAAAATATTTTTAATGGCCAACTTGCACAGCCATTGCAAGGAGGAAGAAGAAGCTTTCTCCACCCAGATTCTCCATGCATGAATCCTTTTACAAACTTCTACCTTACTGGCTCTGGGATCCCTCGCAATGCTGAACAGGATCCCAGAATTACAGCCACCAAGAGTACAATACTCTTCCCATCCCTGCTCCAAAGTATTACTTGGAAAACCGGCTTTATTCTGCTTCGGCGTGCAGGCTCCAAATCTTCGAATCGGTGCCGTTTCACGACTGCCAGCTGCTCTGGGTGAGGGCCTGTGTGTTTTTATCATCTGGGAAGCAGCTGCCAGAGTTCCAGCACAATACAGATGATGGAGGAGCGACAGAGGAGGGCATTAAGCAGCAGAAAACTCCCTGGCGCTAATGTTGCAAAACTGTCCAAAGCAGAGCCGTTTTCAAGATATAGCGGCCGATTAAAATGTCACTGCGCAACCAGGAAAAGCATCGCGGCAGGAATACGATTTTCCTAAGTAGACCGTTCTAAGTTGGTTTGCAATCTGCTAGCGCTTGGCCTGCAGCAAATCTGGCGTCGGCATGGGAGCCAAGAGCGCCTAATTTTTTCCTCCTGTGTGGAAAAATAAGGCCTGTTGCATCTTCCGCCCCAGTCTGACAGAACGGCCTTTGTTTTCAGGCCCAAGACTGTCCTCCGTTTCAGCTTGGAGGGAAAATGAACTAGGAAAGCCAAACAGAGACAGATTTTATATATATATATATGTATCTCAGAATGACGGAAGGTTCCTTCAGCTGGAATCTGACAGTTCTCCAGCACATATGAAATATGCAGAACATTACTAACAGGGCCAGAATTAGACTCTGATGGTTTGTTTTTTAAAAAACCAACCCACACAAACGAAGCTGGGATTCTCTACCCGGTGTGTGTTTTGTGGGTTGCCTAAGCAGGAACCGTTTTATTTATTTCGTAAAATGTATACACCGCTCGAATGTCAAAAAAACAAGCAAACATCAATTTACAATAAAGAAAAGAAAAGATAAAAGCCGTAACATCACCGCTGAGAAAAGCCAACAACAATAAACTTCGGAAAAGTTAAAACAGCAACAGGCTAAAATTAGAACCAAGCTTGCGTAAATTAAATTGAATTAAATTCCAACAGAACCAGAGGAGGAGAGATTTTGCAGGGATGCCTTCACCAGAAATCAGTGCCCACTGCGGGCGCCTTGTTACCTGGATCCTTATGGCGCTGGGCATCGGCTCCCAAGTCGTCCCCGCAGTGCGAGGAGGGCGAGGCGCTTGCCCCGTTGCGACGTTCCCTTTCTCCGTCCCTCCTGCCGCCTCTCCGGGGTGCTGGTGCTTCCAGGTCCTGCAGCCTGGGGTCGCGGGAGGGGGGCCTGGGCGACTCCCGGTCCTGGCGGGGTGGTCGCCTGTGGCGATCCGGGTCTGGGGAACAGCTGCGGCCCAGCCGGTGCCTTTCCTCCCAGTCGGTGCTCAGGTGTGTCGGCCGCGGGGACCTCTCTGAGCTAGGGGACCACCTCTCCCGGGGCTTACGGGGCCGGCCACCGCTCTCTAGATGCACCCTCTCATCTTCCCAGTCCAGCGGAAAAGGGGGCGTCCTGCGGCTCCCCTCTCGGCTCCCTGGCCGCCTTTCTTTCCGCCCCATGCCGCCACCTGCGTGGGGCTCGACCTCCCCGTCCAGTGCGAGCGAAGAGGGCCGCCAATGTCTTTCCTGACTGGACGGCTTCCTGTCCCGGCGGTCTCCGTCGCGGCGGCTTTCCTCCTCCGTGTCCGAAGGAGGCCTCCGAGGCCTCTCCCGGCTGCCCCGGTTCCTGTCCTGCCTCTCCCTCCGGCCGCCTCCAGCCTGCCTCGCTTCCGAGGAGCTCCCCAAAACTTCCAAGTCCAGCCCCTCGGACAATAGAGGGGGCCCCGTCGGGGTTCCCTCGGCCTCTGGGGCTCCCTCTCGCCGCTCTGGGCTCGGCGAGGTCTAGCCTGCTCCCGGGGGCTCACGCACAAGCGGTCTGAGCAAGGGGTGGGGGCGAGACAAACAAGCGAGATGGGTTAGTGACACACAGGTTAACGGCCCACGTAATGGCATGCAAACGGGGAGGGGGGCAGCAGAAGGAGGAGCAGCAGCAGCAAAGGAAAGGCCGGGAGGCTCAGAGGCGGATGAGGAAAATCATGCCAAGGAAGCAAAGCTAATGCTGCAGATTGGAAGCTGCCTTAATTAGAGTCCGATCGTTAGGAATGGCAGATGAAGATGATGGACTTTTCGGAGCTAGCCGACCTGACTGGAAGAGTCTGTGACCGGGAGGAGGAGGAGGAGTACCAGGAGGAATGGATGAAATTCAAAGACTATTTAGTTAAATATGTTAAGATAACTTAATTGGAAAAACTTGCAAATAATAGATAGTCTTAGGATTTAAATATGTGATGTTGGAGAACAATATGTTTAAAGTCAAAATGAAAACAAAGATGTTAAGTGATTAAGTTAATTATATGAGAAAATTGGTTTTGGCAAGCTGTCACTGAAATTCAGCCGGGGGAATTTGAGGACGTCACTTAACAATGTTACTAAGATTGGATTAAGTATAGTTCAGATGTATGTTTGTTTGTTTGCTCAAAATTTTGGAAAATTAATAAAAAATAATTGGGGGGGGGAATACACAGAATCCGATCCTTGGTCCACTAAGCCCCATACTGTTTACACTGACTGGCAAGGTCTCAAGCAGAGAGGGGGGTCTTCCACGTCACCCACTGCCTCTTGCTTTGTGGGGGCAAGTTGGGCTAGATGATCTTTGGGGGGACTCTTCCAACTTTGCCATTTGATGGTTCTATTTGCTTTCAGGTAGAGACACAGGTGCTCTAACCCTGAGCTGCGGTCTCTCCCTGTGAGTTGGGGCTCTGGATTTCAGCTTTACCTGAAGGAGGGGGCGGGTGGGTGTGGAGGACTCCCTGGTCCTGAATGGGGCAACTGTGCCCCTGAAGGACCAGGTGTGCAGCCTGGGAGTCATTTTGGACTCACAGATGTCCATGGAGGTGCAGGTCAATTCTGTGTCCAGGGCAGCTGTCTGCCAGCTCCATCTGGTACACAGGATGAGACCCTACCTGCCCATAGACTGTCTCACCAGAGTGGTGCATGCTCTGGTTATCTCCCGCTTGGACTACTGCAATGCGCTCTACGTGGGGCTACCTTTGAAGGTGACCCGGAAACTACAAGTAATCCAGAATGTGGCAGCTGGACTGGTGACTGGGGGCAGCAGCCAAGACCATATAACACCGGTCTTGAAAGACATACATTGGCTCCCAGTATGTTTTTGAGCACAAGTCAAAGTGTTGGTGCTGACCTTTAAAGCCCTAAATGGCCTCAGCCCAGTAGAACTGAAGGAGCATCTCCACCCCCATCGTTCTGCCCGGACACTGAGGTCCAGCACTGAGGGCCTTCTGGCAGTTCCCTCCTGCGAGAAGCCAAGTTAAAGGGAACCAGGCAGAGGGCCTTCTCGGTGGTGGCGCCCGCCCTGTGGAACGCCCTCCCACCAGATGTCAAAGAGCTAAACAACTACCTGACATTCAGAAGACATCTGAAGGCAGCCCTGTTCAGGGAAGCTTTTCATGTTTAATAGGTTATTGTATTTTAGCGTTCTGTTGGAAGAGTGGCTGGGGAAACCCAGCCAGATGGGCGGGGTATAAATAATAAATTATTATTATTTATGTTTATTTCTGAGAGGGGTGTCCCAGAGGGGTGGTGTTTGGGGGCTGCCCAGCGTGCTGGAAAGCAGCAGGTGAAAACCAGGCTCCCCGCTGCCCTTTCTGGCTCACGGCTGGACCTCCATGGCAGCTCAGAGGGCACCCCAGGCCCCCTTTACGGGGGAGAGGGGCCATCGTTCAAGCCCTGCTCCCAGGCTCAGTCTCCAGCAACTCCTGCTAACAGGATCTCCATCCCCGGTGGCAGGAGAGGTCGGTGATGATGGCGACGCAAGCCAAAGGTGGCCGTATTGTGTTAGCAGGCTAATGTGATATTTTGAGTCCACTCTAGTCTAAGGAAGAATTATTAGTTCGCATGCAAAAGATGCTTGTGCCAGAGGAATATTTGGCGGGTTGAGGCTGCCTTGTTAAGAAGAAGCGCAGATCTAGAGGGAAATGGGGGGGGTGCCCTTCTTCCTCCACTTGGGTGGGAAAACCCACCACGAACTATGGAACTCCCTGCATCGCTGGGGGTTGGACTAGATGACCTATGGGATCCCACCCAAGAGGGCTCGGTGATATATTGATATCTCATCCAAAACTGGTTTGAAGCCCATACAGTGTTACCTTGGTTCTCAAACGCCTTGGTACTCAAACAACTTGGAACCCAAACACTGCAAACCCAGAAGTCAGTGTTCCACTTTGAGCGCCACACTTCCATTTTGAGTGAGGTCTGTCTGTTTTTGCTATTTATTTTGTGTTTTTGTTTTTGTGGCTTTTTTTGTGACAGTGTGGAACCCAGTTCAGCTACTGACTGATTGATTGTGTGACTGCAGTACATTGTTTATTGCTTTCAAGTGGTCTTGTTAGATAGTAAAACTCATGTTCAATTGCTGTTTTAGGGTTTGCTTTTAAAAGCCTGGAACGGACTAATCCATTTTGCATTACTTTCTATGGGAAAGAGCGCCTTGGTTTTGGAACACTTTGGTTTTGGAACGGACTTCCGGAACGGATCAAGTTTGAGAACCAAGGGACCACTGTATTGTGATGTCAGTTTCCTAATTTTGTGCAATGCAAAAATCACATTGTGGGGAAAACTGTGAAGCCTGCTAAGGCTTCTCTCGATTCCTGCAGCCCATTAACTCTGCCACCTCAGCTCTCCCCTGTCTCGTGAAGAGGGCAGCAAATCGCAAGAGCGGGTGTTGGCAAAATTCACGATGCAGGAAAAACCGTGAAGCCCGACGATGCCTGTGCATAGCTCCATCCTTATTTCAGTCATTGTGACATATCAATATATCACGATGTTTAGCTGGTGATCTATTGCGATGTTGAAAACCAGGTATCACCCAGCCCTACACCCAACTCTGCAATTCTAGGATTCTCTCTTGCGGTGATGGCCACCATCCTTGATGGCTTTAGAAGAGGATGAGAGAAACTCACGGAGGAGAGATCACTCTTGTGCTGGCATCGCATTGTTGTATCTGAGTAGCCACAGTGAGAACAGGATGCTAGACTAGAGGAGCTCCCTCTGGCCTGATCCAGCAGTTTCCTCTGAGGTTTTTGAGCAGCAACAAGCAGGAAGAGACCTCGACAAGAACTTTCTGCTTTCCCGACACACGCAAGCTGAAGGAAAAGAGGTTTGTGCAGATGTGCGAACGAGGGCAAGGCAGAGGCACCCGCCACCAACAACCAGAAAGCAAATCGGAAATTTGGTGCCCACGGAAACCCTCAGGATCAGGGCGCGTTTGATCGCAAAAGCATTTCAGAGAAGCCTCTGCAATTTCTTGTCTGAAGCAATCATCTTTCCAGAGATGACAGATTTGGCGGTGATCAGAAAGGCAGTCCCGCAAGCGTCCCCGATTCAGGATCCGTCCGGCTCTCATTGCATCCGTCCTCCTCCAACAAGAATTCATTTCTCGTAATGCCAGAAACCTCCAGCGCTTTCCCAGAATAAGAGCGGGAGAACACACCTCGCCAGGATGAGGCACAGGGTGGCGTTGTGAGGGGAGTGGGCTAGAGGACCCCTGGGGGTCCACACTATGAGGGGCTCCCGCTTACGGTTTCAACCCCCGCAGCGGCAGGGCCTGGAGCTGCGCAAGAGCCCCACATCCCAGCTGCAGCACATCCCTCAGCCCCCAAGATGACCACCTGCGCTTCTCAAAGCAAAGCTCAGCTCAGAAAGAGGAGGGGAACATCCTGCAGCCCCGGCAGTAGCAACAACAGGTCCACAGGCACACCGGAGGTTTCGGAAACGCGGCAGAGTTCAAAGAGTCGTTCAGACCTGGCGGAGGCAGCTCTGGAGTCTGCTGCGACCCACAAGCAGACACTCCCGGGCTGGAAGGCCAGAAGGTGAAGATGCAATGTAGAGCCTTCTGGGTCTGTGGTGAGGACCCCAAAACCTCCTGGTTCTAGAGGAGGTCCCGCTTACCTCTGCTTTCCGGGTAGTATCCTTCATCGTAAGTGCTCTTCTGCAAGGGCTCTGGGTGGGGCTTCTTCCGACGCTTCTCCTCCTGGAGCTCCTTCTGCTGCAGGATCCGAGCAATGTCCTAAAGGAAGGAAGGAGGTCAAACCCTGGCATTTTCGCAAAGAACTTTCTTGCCAGTCTTTGGTGACTGGCAGCGGCCGCCAAGACCACATAACACCGGTCTTGAAAGACCTGCATTGGCTCCCAGGACGTTTCCAAGCACAATTCAAAGTGTTGGTGCTGAACTTTAAAGCCCTAAATGGCCTCAGTCCGGTATACCTGAAGGAGCGTCTCCACCCCCGTCGTTCTGCCCGGACACTGAGGTCCAGCTCCGAGGGCCTTCTGGTGGTTCCCTCATTGTGAGAAGCAAAGCTACAGGGAACCAGGCAGAGGGCCTTCTCGGTGGTGGCACCTGCCCTGTGGAACGCCCTCCCATCAGATGTCAAAGAGATAAACAACCACCTGACATCTGAAGGCAACCCTGTTTAGGGAAGTTTTTAATGTTTGATCTTTTATCGTGTTTTTAATATCTCTGTTGGGAGCCGCCAGATGGGTGGGGCATAAATATTATTATTATTATTATTATTATTATTATTATTATTATTATTATTATTATTATTATTTTGCCTTTTTGGACAGGAGCATGGGTGTGTTTGGCTTTTAAGGGACGGATGGATTGTATTTCTAACACTGCTTTTCATTCAAACAAACCCCAAAGCGGATTACACACTACAGATAACAGTAACACAGCAGAACATGGTGAGTGAAGCGTAAATCATATTACATATTTTTTTTAAAAATCAGCAGCAAAATAACTGCAATCTTTAAACCACTATTAACAACTAAAACAATAAGCTAAACACCACAACTGCAGCGTGGGACTTAGGATATGATTAACAAATCAAGAAGGCCTTTATAAGTCATAAAACAGGGACGCGGGTGGCGCTGTGGTGTAAACCACTGAGCCTAGGGCTTGCTGGTTGGAAGGTTGACAGTTCAAATCCCCGTGACAGGGTGAGAGCTCCCGTTGCTCGGTCCCTGCTCCTGCCAACCTAGCAGTTCGAAAGCATGTCAAAGTGCAAGTAGATAAATAGGTACCGCTCCGGCGGGAAGGTAAACAGCGTTTCCGTGCGCTGCTCTGGTTCGCCAGAAGCGGCTTAGTCATGCTGGGACTTATCATATGGACATGACCCAGAAGCTGTACGCCGGCTCCCTTGGCCAGTAAAGCGAGATGAGCGCCGCAACCGCAGACTTAACTGTCAGGGGTCCCTTTACCTTAAACAATACTGACAAAACAGGAACTTAAAATAAGCTAGATGCTATTAGGTTCCTACACACATGTTACCATTGACATGCTTCGAATTTCTATTGTTTGCATTTGCATTATTGCATCTGTTTATTCCTGGGGGATTTTTTAGCTGAAAGGCAGCATATAAAGAAACGAGAACACAACATCACAAGAGACAAGGGGTTGTTGATCGGGCTTCCCAGGGGCACCTGAAATCTTGAGAGGGAGCGTGGGACTCGATGACCCTTTCGATCCCCTCTGCAATGCAATGAAATTTGCTTTCGATTTGCTGGTTCCTGCTGTTGCCTTCGCAGCAGCCAACGCAGCTTAACGGACCCCAAACTCTCCCTGCACCTAGAAATATTCGTTATTGGGGGCAAGTTCCTGGCAGCCTTGTTTTTGACATGCACGGCTGCAAGTCAAAAATCAACGTATGTGTTCTGGCGATGGTTCTCTCTCTCGCCCCTCCCCGGCCCCCGCTATCCTTTAAAGACGTGAGATTTGGCCCCAGATCAGTCACTTTCCTCCCTGCCCACAAGACCAAAGGGCTGACCTCATCGTCCTCTTCTTGGCGACGCCGCTGTTCTGCCTCAATGACCAGCTTGACTTGAATTTCCTGAGCTATCTCACAGTCCTGCCTCTCCCTGGGAAGAGACAAAGGGGAGGGGGTGGCAGAGGGGAAAAGGTGAGGGGTGGGAGTCCGTGGGAAAAGAGAGAGAGAGAGAATGGGGGGGGAGAGAAAGGAGAAAATGCAGCCCAGGACCCCGGCTTCACATTGAGAGATGAGCGACCAAGACGGGAAACACTCTCAAAACAGAAATGGAAAAAAACAACTTTTTCTTCCAGTGCAACTTTTGAACCCTCAGCGCAGTGTTTCTCAACCAGGGGCCATATGGACTCCTGCCCCCCCCCCCGGATATTCTAAAGGGGGCACAGGTGAAATAATAGAATTTATATAAAAATGATACAGTCAAACCTCGGTTCTCGGACGGCTCCGTCTTGGAATGTTTCGGCTACCGAATGCCAAAAAGCTGGAAGTAAACGCCCCTGGTTTTCTAACGTTTTTCAGAACCCGAACGTCCGGCACGGTTTCTGCTTGAGTGCAAGAAGCTCTTGCAACCAATCGGAAGCCGCGGCTTGGCTGTTGAACGTTTGGGAAGTCGAACGGGCTTCCGGAACAGATTACGTTCTACCACCGAGATTTGACTGTAAATAAAACGTGTTCTATCTACAGGCAAAATAGCTACCTTTCTACCGGGTTTTGTGTGTGTGGCACAGGAAGGAAACAAGGTTGGAAGGTGGCCAATGTCAGAAAAAGGTCGAGAAACACTGTTTTGGCGTATAGTTAAACTATGGAGTGCAGCTGGAGGCAGTGATGCTTCTGAATTCCAGTTGCTGGAATCCCAGGAGGCGAGGGTACTGCTCCTGTGTTCGAATCCTGCATGCTGGTCTCCCACAAACATCTGGTTGGCAGCTGTGAGAACAGGGTGCTGGAGATAAACTAACAGGAAGGATTCGAAACCGGCAAGACCAAAAATTCACAGAAGACTGGAGTAAATTTACGGACTATTTGAAAAGTAATTGTGAAGAACAGATGACGTTTGTAGGGTTGCAAGAAGTTTTGTGAGGAGTATTATTAGAAGTATTGTAAAAATGGACAAGGGGGAGGAGGATTTGTTAAGAGATGTAAAGGCAACATAAAGTTAAGAAATGCATAAGAAGTGGTTAAAAAGGTGGATCATCAGAGGTGCTGATGGAAGTCCAAAAAGATTGTATAAGTGATAAGTCTTGTGGTACATTTTATAATTTATATGTTAAAATGAATAAAAAAATATTATAAAAAAAGAGAACAGGGTGCCAGTGGCGTAGCGTGGGTTGTCAGCACCCGGGGCAAGGCAAGTAATTTGCGCCCCCTAACCCGTGGATTTGCGCCCCCTAACCTGTGGATTTGCCCTAACCCCAGATGTTGCGGCCGGCCCCCCCTGCACCCCCCACGCTACGCCACTGCAGGGTGCTGGACTAGATGGGCCGTTGGTCAGATCCAGTACGCTCCTCTTCTGTTGTGCCGATGGGCCCCCCTGCCCCATGCAATGCCTGAAGAGCACCAAGTTGGCGAAGGCTGAGTTACAGCTACCGTTTCGCTTTATGTGAACCTTTTTCAGAAGCGCCGCTGCCTCCAACTGCAGAAAGAGCAGCCATCCTGGCTAGCAGCCATCAGAAGCCCTCTTCTCCTCCAGGAATTTGTCCAATCCTCTTTTAAAACCATCCAAGTTTGGTGGCCATCCCTGACTCCTGTGGCAGGGAGTCCCAAAGTTTAACTATGTGCTGTGTGAAGAAGGACTTTCATTTCCCTGTCCTGAAATGTCAAACGTTAACTTTCACCAGAAGAGATTCAGATGAGATTTCTACGTTGCAGGGGGCTGGACTAGACCAGGGTGCCCCAAACCTGGGTCTCCAGCTGGTTTTGGACTACAAATCCCATCATCCCTACTGAGAAGCAATGAATGATAATAATAATAATAATAATAATAATAATAATAATAATAATAATAATAATTTATACCCCGCCCTTCCCGGTTCAGAAAACCAGGCTCAGGGTGGCTAACAACAAATTTAAAACACTTTGATGCAACAAAAAACAGCATAAAATACAGTATAAAACGTGAATAACAATAAATTCAGAATTCAAAAATCAATTTAGGGGGAAATCCATCCAATAAACATTACATGATCCCCAGGGCTAGCTGGCTAAATTAGTCCTATTTGGGCCAGCGAGGAGACCAGGGGAGAATTAGCTGCGGGATCCCAGAGCGGGAAATCTTCATAAAAAGGAGAGGAGGAGGGAAGGAAGGGGAACAAAAGATCAGGCTAAGTTCAAATTGAAAGCCAGGCGGAATAGCTCTGTCTTACAGGCTGGGCGAAAGGAGGTTAAATCCTGCAGGGCCCTGGTGTCCATGGGACAGAGTATTCCACCAGGTCGGAGCCATCACTGAGAAGGCCCTGGCCCTGGTGGAGGAGTTGTAATCCAAAAACATCTGGAGACCCAAGTTTGGGGAACCTTGATTTGGATGATGCTTGGCGTCTCTGCAAACGCCACAATTCTATGTCCACAAGTTCTAGTGTTAACTCTCCGCTTTATCCGTGACATAAATGGTTTTATAAACTTCTATCATGTCACCCCTTTTCTCTAAACTAAGAAGGCACAGATGGGAGTTGCAGTCTGGAACATCTGGGGGGGGGCACCAGGTTGGGAAAGCCGAACTGCGCCAGAGTCTTCAGGGAACAACGGGCCCCGCTTGGTTCTGCCCAGCTAAACCAGGGAGGGGCCAGCCCAGAGGCAAAACGGCCCCCGCATCCCGCACACTCACAGGTCTTTGTGCCGCTCCTGGATCCGGGCCCGTGCCTTGCGGTCCTCCTCTTCCTGCAGCTGCTTGGCCATCTGCAAGTCATACTGCACCAGGCGGTTGCGCTGCACATTGGTCGCCAAATGATGCTCAACTGTAAGAGGGCACAAGAACAGGCACGTTTAATTCGGCTGCGGGTCTGGGAGGACCAAGACACCCTCTTGGCTGCGCCCCAAGGGGGACCCCGCTCTCTCGCTGGCCCCTTCCGCAGGGTGGAGGAAATCATTGTGGTTTCCACCCCCTTTTGGTTCCGCACCCTATAGAAAACATTATTCAGAAAAGCGGACCAAAACACAAGGACATTCAGAACGGTAACAGTTAAATGCACATCGCAGAACCCAGCTTCACCCGCCAGGCGAGACATACTTTCCTGTTCTTGCAGGCTGTGGGCCAGAGTGTGATCCTCGAGGACGGCAAAATCCCGGCACACTGAAAGAAAAGAGAGAACGGAAAAAGTGAGGGAGGAGAGCAACTTATCATCCCAGAGCCCAGAACTTCTTCACAAGACACAAGGAAGTCGATGGTACATGACTCCCGTTAAAATTACAAAAATGTACAGAAGAAACTCTAATAAGTGCTGGAAATGTAAAGAGTTAGAAGGTATGTTTTATCATATTTGGTGGAGCTGTAAAGTAATCAAAAACTATTGGGAAATGATTTATAATCAGGGGTCCCCAAACTAAGGCCCACGGGCTGGATAAGGCCCAAGGGACTCGTTTATCCGGCCCGCAGCAACCCCCGCCACCCGCTCTTACTGGCACTGCCCTGCTGCCCACTTCCGGGTTGGAGGAGCATCGAAAATAGCTTGTGCACATATGCAAGCGTTATCTGCGCATGCGCAAGCGTTATTTGTGGTGCACATCCGGGTTGGAGGAGGCCCGTGCACATGCGCACAAGCTGTTTCCCGTGCTCCTCCAACCCGGAAGTGTGCCGGAAATAGCGTGTGCACACGCTTATGGGCACGCGCTCCCCTGCCCTCCAGCCCACCACGCGATCGGCGCTGGAGCCACCGGCCCGAGGGGCAGCAAGTTTGCTGACCCCTGTTTATAACAAACTGAAGATGTTTAAGATAACTTTTGTTAAAAAGCCAGAAGCTTTCTTGCTAGGTATTATAGGACAGGAATTGCCAAAAGAGCGGAAGAACAACAGCATCTAGGATATCACTAGCCCAAAAATGGAAGGAAGGTAAGATACCAAAGAAGGAAGATTTGCAAGTTAATCTTATGGAATACACACAGAAATGGCGAAACTTACAGGAAGACTTAAGAGACAATGACAATAGAGACTTAATAAGACTGGGAAGCATTTGTGCTGTATCTACAGAAACAGTGTAAAGAATTCGACTTACTAGTAGGGTTTGAGTAAACGCTAACAATTAAGAAAATAAGTGGACGGTTAAGAAACAACAATATGGAAATTAATTAAGTGCAAGATGTCATTTGAAAGGAAATTTGGTATCAAAATGATAAGAATATAAGAGTGTTTAGCAAAAAAAATCATAGAAAGTAAGATAAAATTAAGCAGAAGTAGGATATATTTAAAGAACAAGAAGGGGAAGTTGAGGGAAGTCACTGGGGGGGGGAATTCCCTTTTTTATTTTTATGTGTCAAATGTGTCGAATATCCAATTGTAAAACCTAATAAAAATTTATAAAAATAAAAAAGAAGACACAAGGAAGTAGGAACTGCAGAAAGAGGGAACAGGCAGCGTTCCCTTGCAACGAACAAATCTCCACTTCCCACAAACACTGCAAGGAAGTAGCAAAGCGGAACATGCAGAGCCATTTCGAGGAACCAGGGGCAAAAGTTGCTTTTTTTTTAGTGACTTAAATCTAAGCAAAAGGAGCACTGATTTGCTCCTTGGCACACATTTGGAGCAAGGCTCATCTCTTTAAAATGGAACAACCACCCAAAAGTGCCACAGTTTAAGAAGGCCAGCTGGGAGGTGTGCAGAGGAGGCCTGATGAGGAACGGTCGAAGGAGCTGGGTACATTTAGCCTGGAGAAGAGGAGGCTGAGAGGAGATGAGAGAACAATCTTCAAATATCTCAAGGGCTGCCCCATGGAAGAGGGAGCAAGCTTGTCTTCTCCTGCTCCGGAGGGTAGGACCTGAACCAATGGGCTCAAGTTGGTTGATTGGGATTTCAGGGGGTTGGACTAGATGACCCCGGGGTCCCTTCCAAATCTACGATTCTATGATCTATAAGTTATAAGAAAGGAGATTCTATGCTGGAGGTGTAAGGATGCCATAGGGCCATAAATGCACATGTGGTGGGAATGCACAGCCATTAAAGAATTTTGGAATAACATCTACAATGAATTTAAAAAACTATTTAAGTTTTCATTTAAGAAAAAACCCCGAAACCTTTTTCCTGGGAATAATGTCACTAGAAATCAAAAAAGAATATAGACCACTTTTTATGTATACAACAGTAGCAGCCAGGATCTTAATCGCAAAAAACTGGAAAAGTGACAAAACACCTACGATAAATGAGTGGCAGGTCCAATATCTACAGATGGCTATGATGACAGGGAGAATTAGAGGGTATCCAAAACAGAAAGTACAGAAAGAAAGGAAAATCTTTAAAGAATATTTGGGAAAGTATTACAATAACAAACATCTCCTGGCAGAAATAGAATGATCCTTGTAAAACAACAAACATAATGTTTTTCTGGACATATGATGAAAACAAAGAAAGAAATACGATAATTTGGAACTGTGTGTGGAAAAACTGTAGAAATAATAATACAATGAGTCTAATCGGAAGTCAAATATGTTTATTTTGCTTTGGTGTTTTCTTTCTTTCTTTTTTCCCCTCCCCTCCCCTCTCCCTCTTGGTTTCATTGTTTAATACTTGTTCACGCACGTCCTTATAACCTTATAATCTTAATACAGTGGTACCTCTGGTTGTGAACAGGATCCATTCCGGAGCCCCGTTCGCAACATGAGCAGAACACAATCTGCACGGGTTGCGATTTGCTGCTTCTGCGCATGCGCGTGACATCATTTTGAGCAGCGAAACCCGGAAGTAACCCGTTCTGTTACTTCCGGGTCGCCGCGGGACGTATCCTGAAAGAACGTAACCTGAACCGAACGTAACAAACGTTGTTCTGCATGGGACAATGAAAATAAAAATTATCGTAAAATTATGTATCGTATCGTATCGTATCGCACCACCCTCCTTGACTGCTGCTATCAAGAGCTGGCATGAACTTTGCAAAGTGCAGATCTCCGAAAAGCCCCCTTGCCCATCCTTAAGTAGAAGGCGGCCTGTGGGGTGACACACAGGCAAGAGGCGGGAAGGAGAGAGCGCGCTTCGGCTTTTTGTTTCTCCCCCTGCCCTTCGCCTTCTCTCATGCCCTTCCAGGCCCTTTGTTCTCCTCCTCCCCACACACGCCCCTTCCTTGGCTGCTGACGCTCCCCCTCCCCGGGGAGAAGCGGCGCAGAAGGATGTGCAAGGAGGCACCAGGGACTGTTTGTTGCTTTTGGGGAAGGGGGTGGAGGGACCCGTCCAGGCCAGCATCCTGTTCTCACAACCAGACACCCGTGGGAAACCAGCAATCAGGATTCGAGCACAAGACCAGCACAATCCTGTCCTGCAGTTCAGAATCATCGCTGCCTCCAGCTTTTGGAGGGCAGGGCAAAGTCATCCTTCCTGGTAGCCATCGGTAGCCCTCTCTTCCCCACAAATTTGTCTCATCCTCTTTTCTTTTTTTCATTGGAAATTTAATTTACAACATAACATAACCCCCTACCCTCCCCCCAAATACAGAAATCCACCCTCACTAAACGTGAACATAACATACAATAAGCATAACATACAACAATACAAAGAACCAAATAAGAGACTTCCTTTATCCTGTATCTGGCCTCCTTATTTACTTCTTATAAGCTGTTTCCTTTATGAATAATTAGGATTTTTCTAATTATGACTTAAATATCCACAAAGTCTCCTGCAGTCATTAATCGAAACAAGTCCAGCTATGTATTTTAGGGCACTGTTTTGTGAAGTATTCTCTGCATTTCCCCCATGCTTTTCGAAACTCTGGTCTAGTGTGAGCTCTAATTGCCTCTAGCCAGTTCAATATACTCTAACAGTTTGTCTTGCCATTCCTTTTTTGTTGGCACAATTTCTTTTTTCCAGTTTTTAGCAATTAGGATCCTGGCCGCTCCTGTGGCATAGAGGAATATCTTCTGATCTTCTCTTGCTATGCCTGTGTCCATTATTCCTAGCAGGAAAGCTTCTGTATTTTTCATAAAGTGATACTTAGACATTTTTTTAAGCTCGTCATATACTATGTTCCAGAAGCTTCTGATTTCTTCACAGGCCTGTCTCATCCCCTTTTCAAGCCATTCAAGTTGGTGGCCATCCCTGCCTCCTGTGGGAAGGAGTTCCATAGGTTAACTGTGCTGCGTGAAGAAGTCCTTTTTTGAAAATATGTCCCAACATTCAGATTCATTAGATGCCCATGGTGTCGAGAGAGCACGAGAAATCTTCTCTCCATCTACTTCTATCATGTTGCCTTTCAGTTGTTGGGGTCTTAAGTTTTAACGGCGATTTGGAAACCATCTGCTCTGGTCAGACCTCACCTGGAGTAGTGTGTCCACTTCTGGGCACCACAGTTCAAGAAGGACACTGACAAACTGGAACGTGTCCAGAGGAGGGCAACCAAAATGGTCAAAGGCCTGGAAATGATGCCTTATGAGGAACGGCTAAGGGAGCTGGGCATGTTTAGCCTGGAGAAGAGGAGGTTAAGGGGTGATATGATAGCCATGTTCAAATATATAAAAGGATGTCATATAGAGGAGGGAGAAAGGTTGTTTTCTGCTGCTCCAGAGAAGCGGACACGGAGCAATGGATCCAAACTACAAGAAAGAAGATTCCACCTAAACATTAGGAAGAACTTCCTGACAGTAAGAGCTGTTCAACAGTGGAATTTGCTGCCAAGGAGTGTGGTGGAGTCTCCTTCTTTGGAGGTCTTTAAGCAGAGGCTTGACAACCATATGTCAGGAGTGCTCTGATGGTGTTTCCTGCTTGGCAGGGGGTTGGACTCAGTGGCCCTTGTGGTCTCTTCCAACTCTATGAGTCTATGATCCTTCTACACTGCAGTTTCAGCAAAACTTGCTCTTTACTCCTCTGTCCATTTTTCAAGCCACCTTTGCAACTTGAAAACGAGGGTATCAGATGTGCGTTGATTTCATTTCCAGATGCACCCTTGGAAGCTGTCTAGAAAGTCGGGTCGGCCAAATGTGTTTCCCAAGATCCACACAGTGCTTCCCAGCCACCTCCCAGAGTCGGCATATTTGGGAAGATGAAGAAGAGGAGTTTGGATTTGATATCCCGCTTTATCACTACCCAAAGGAGTCTCAAAGCGGCTAACATTCTCCTTTCCCTTCCTCCCCACAACAAACACCCTGTGAGGTGAGTGG